CGTATGTAAATAATCAGCACATTCAAAAATACGTTTTAATGTTGTAAGCCAGAGTTGCCTTGCAGTGAGATGGGCAGCAAACAAATTTAATAAATAAATCAAACAAACAAATAAACAAATAAATAAATAAATATGCAACAACTGTTTCTGTACTCTATCATGATCCTCATCTAGGAAATTGTGGAGTTAGTGGCAGGAGACAGAGAGGTCAACATAGTTTATTAAAGATTAACAGTATTAACCTTAATCCTTCACTTTGAAAGGAGTATTCCTTTTTTTTAAAAAAAAGTTCTTGTTTTGATAGAGTTACTCACATGTGGTCAAGTGACTTCAAGTGAAGTATGCATTTATATGTTGTTATAAGAACTTATCTGTTGTAAGAATCCAGCAATTTTTCGCTTTAAAAAAACATAGAAATATTGACTAGATCAGATACAGTGATGGCACTTTTGAAATTTCAGAGGCTGAAATCTCTTATCTTCATATTTAAACATCTTCATACTTAAAATATCCTGGGCTTTGTAAAAAGTCAAGCCTCCTTCCACTGTGCTTTCTTAGAAAGCCTTGTGGTTGCACAATGTTGTGTTCTTACCTGGCCATTCAAGGAAATAGCAATAGCACTTATACTTATATATGTTTCATAGTGCTTTACAGCACTCTTTAAGCAGTATATAGAGTTAGCATATTGTCCCCAACAATCTGGGCCTTCATTTTATAGACCTTGGAAGGATGGAAGGCTTAATCAACCTTGAGCCAGTCAGGATTGAACTCTCGGCAGTGAGCAGAGTCAGTCTGCAATACTGCATTCTAACCACTGCGCCACCATGGTTCTTACTGGAAATACAAGGAGCGACACCTTTCTTTCTACAAATCCAGTGGTCCTGTCAATACTAAAATTTCAAAGATGTAAAATATATAGGTCCACTTTGTAGCATTTTGAAAATGTAATTCATTTATCCCACTAGCCTTTTCTACAAGAGATGAATTCTAGCGGGGCTGCATTGTAGTTTGTTTTATAACCACAATGAATCCACTAGCAATGAAATAGGCACCCTGAAAGTTTTTTAATTCCAGTTTTGGTTAGAGCAGCGCATCTAATCAACAGATGGAGCAGTAGCTCAACTGGCATAAGGCATCAAGTGCATCAGATACAGATTCATGCTTAACATGAGTTTCACTCAGGTTGGGCGAAATGGCTCTGTTGAAATGTTTATGGATGCCTCCTTCTTTTGGCAACTTGGTGAGTGCCTGAAAACCTGCAATGGAAAAGTTGTTGTCATTCCTGAAAACATGGGCAGCTAGTGTATCTTAATATAATAAAAGGCCAATAACTTACATCTCTGTCCCATTCTCTTCCATTACATTGCCACTTCTATCCTTTAAAGTTTTTGATGCCTTCCAAAATAACATATAAAATAACAAGTGCTAAATAAATAAAAAAAAACCACAACAAATGTAAAACAGGTCAATTTTCTGATGTTTACCATTAAGGATGGTACAGCTGATGCCACATATTGTAGGTAAATACACCACCTTAAGTGGTTTGAGATACAGGTAGTCTTCATTAAGTGATCACAACTGGGACCCACAACTTAATCATTAAGTGAAGCAATCACTAAGTGAAATTGTGACTATGCCTATGATTTTACTTTAGCTTTCCTTTGCTTTACAGAAGGTCATACAAATGAAGACTGATCACTTATTTTTTTTAAATCACCATAGCAATGATGGTCACCAAACAAGGCAGTCACTAAACAAGTACTACCCATAAGTTCAGATCACCTCTACAATCACAAAGTTCAGTACAGGATGGAGAAACAAAGTCACAGGATAAGGAGTGATTTATTACATGGCCAAAGATGAAAATAATGTTTAATTTCCACAAAAATGCAAATAGGGTATGTATTTTTATATGCACACTTCAGTATGATATGTATTTTTCCTTACCAAGGTTGGCGTTTAGGTTTTTTAAAACTTTTGCTTGCAATTACAAATATATAAATCATGGGAGTGGGATCAGAAAATGTCAAATGACAGTCGTGACCATATGCTCAAAGTCTTGCCGATTTGTTCATATGTTACGCGTGAAAAGGGGTCTGTCTTCAATTCCACAATCACAGTTACATCCTATTTTTTAAACTCTTTTTTCACCTGCTTCTGTTATAAAACACAAGGATCGGTTTTAAGTGCTCATTAAATGAAAGCCAAACAACAATATGGTTTGCAAAATATGTAAATCCACCCAATACAACATTGTGTTCTTGAGCACTAAGTTGGCTTAAAAGTCTGGGGTTAGAATGTTGTATAAACCTGCTTATAATGGCTTGCACACACAATGAACCATGGTTTACAAAACAAAATGTTTAGGTTTTGTGTTAGTGCAATAATTGAAACTAGTTTATAAAATATTGGGATTAGAGTTCTAATTAGAGTGGAGTAACCATTAATAGGAATGTATTGTTAGCTACAGTTACTAAACTTTTTGCTGTTGTTTGAAACTCTCCACGTTCCTGTTTAAATTACCAAACTCTTTTCTCTAAAACTAATTTGGTGATATGTTTGTGTTCACATAAGCTTGTTAAACATGAAAGCATATGATTTGATACTGGTGAGCAGCTTTTGAGAATCTCTCTCTATAAACATGGCTGTGTGTCTGTGTGTGTGTGTATGTTTCAGCATAACTTTGGAACACCTTGATCAATTTCAACCAAACTTGGTACACAGATGACTTACTCTCTGGAAACAAATACTTTGGGGGTAAGACACCTCTAACATCCCCCAGGTTGTGTGTTCTGTTAAGATCACAGGTCTGTAAGGGGCATGCATATGTGAACCAGTGCACCTAGCGCCCCTGATCTACTGTCTCCATTTATTTGTACCCATTTACTGTGTTCATACTTATGTTCATACTTATACCTGCTATCTTTTAGATGTTTGACAATCTAAATAAATACATAAATAAAAGCCAAAAACAAAGATACAGCCTGTTGTGCCTTTAAATGGCTTCTACTGCACTGCCACAAAATGGCTTCTACTGTACAGCGCAGTGAAGTTGCCATGGTAACGACTTCACAGTACTCCACAAGGGAACTCCCTCTGGTAAGGGGGAAAATCCAACATTAGAAATTACGTTTTGTCCAGATATTTTCAACAAGGCTTTGATTATTTTGAGGACAAATGTATGGCCATGATCAATAAAACATTACTCTAACTTGGCCTGCCTGCACCACTACGAGACTGACACGAGGTACTTCATGCAGATTACAAACGAGAAAAGAACTACAACATTTGAACAGCTTACTGCAAATATTGCGAACAAGAAGCCACTTCTAAATCAAGATCAGAAAAAAGCATACCAAATGATCATGGATCAGCTAGCAAAACAACAAGGTGGTATCACTTTCCTTGATGCTTCTGGGGGCACAGGGAAAACATTTGTAACTAATTTAATTGTTGCCAAAATCAGGACTTTTCCTGTCAAATACAGGATTAGGATAAATAAATACCCGGGCAATGCTGGGTTATCAGCTAGTTGTTCATAAAATCTCATAGTCA